TACATCAAGGCCAAATTTTAACAACTCAAAAACCAGTTTCATAGAACACCAAGTTAAAATGTATCATAAAATACCCAATGGAAAAGAAATTGACAGTGTCCTAACTTTTAATTTGATCAAGATATGAAGATATATTAGAATATAAATTTATGCATGTCACAATATGAAATAATTAGAATTAAATAAAGTTGAAGCTAACATTCAAATATATGTTAGAAATTTGACAATTCATTAGAAAGGTTCTGGACATTTCCTTGATACAAGTGCATTAGATAGCAATATATTTCACTTAAATGGTTGATATCAGTTTCTTTAATAAAGAGTGAATGTGATTATGAGATGAAGGCCATCTCTAAAAAGAGTGTTTTGTAATAATTGTCTTCAGTTGCTAGTATTTTTGTAGAATTGAAGTCCGTACCTACCCCAATAGTTCAGTAATTTTATTTATATATGTATATATAGTGTTTTATGTAGAAATGTTTATATGAAATGAAGAATATATTATTATTATTATTTACTGCACCAGCTGCTCGTACTAAAGGCACATATCTGTTGGACCAACTCCACATGTGTTGGGAGGGATGTGACTTGAAGAAAAAACTTGTAGTAAATTCATGGGAGAAACCAGCCAACAAGAAGAAACAATCTTCATCCCTTTAATTTCCTTCCAAATAAATGTATTATCAACAGAGTATCTTTTCTATCTTGACTAACATCCCTAACACACCGGCCTTGAATCTTTTTCTCCTCAGGTTCACAGTTTGAAGGGCTACTAGCCAGACAGTCTTAAGATATTTTTTCATATCTTCTAATATAGAAAACAAAGTCGCAAAATACTTTCAGTTACAACATTTATAACTATGAACCGATTTCATGATTTTTGCTTTGTTGGATTTGTGTCTGCCCTGGATAATTGTAACTGGATAAGGTGTAACTCAATAACAGCTGGATCAACTTTTATGAGTTTGGATTTGTTAGATTTCTCTGTGTGGAATAGCAAAATGACTATTAGGCTATTTGGAAAATTAGTAAAAAAAAATAAAGAAAAAATAAATTGATTTGTTAGATTATGACGATTGTGCACAAAAAAATTGATGCTATGATATTTGTAATTGTGCATGTTTGAATAATTTTCATTTCATAATAGAAGTGACGTCAGAAATATCTATCAAATTATTATTTACAATGCTGCGAGCAAGATCGAATCTTTCACAATGAAACTATAATGCACTTGGACTACAAAATATTGCGAATCAATCCACTATATGTGAAGAAGAAATCGCTTGACTTGAGGGCCAGGTTCATGTTGCCAGATCTACTAGCTGAAAATCTCTTGTTTTAGCTCTCAAGCTACTGTTCTGCTTGAGAGTTAATATCTACTGATGACTCAGTTGACTTTCTATATCAATTATAAAATTACAGTAAATAGTGAAAATGTATATGTTATATATCTATACAATATATTTACCAGTGTTTTTTGTTCTACAGTTTCTCTCACACAAAATCTAATCGTAAAAGTGACCTGGATTATTTTTTGACTTTCTCGTTTTACATTCTAAAACAAAAATGAAAGAATATGAGTAAAAGGGTTTATTTCTTTCAGTTTGTATCTGAAATAAAAATCTGTGCATGATCTACACAACTTTGTTGATATATCTGTAGTTTTTATTGAAAGTTATTTTATTTTCCTTCCTTTAGAATGATGGAGCAGTAGAAAGTCAAAAAACTTTCATTTGCAAAACAATTCTCTCCTTTTTAATTTACAGGATAAAACTTAGCTATTCATAGTTATTCAATCTTGGCCAAGAGACTGTCTCTCATTTTGTTTCAAAATGAATATAGTTTCATAGTATGAAGTGATGGGTCGATCTTAGTATAAAACTTGAAAACATTGTATGTGAAGCTTCTTCCGAAAAAAGAAGCTTTGGATGGTGGAAGCAAGATAAGACCCTTCTGACGTAAATTAAAGCTATGATTATCTGTCCTATATTTTATTTTACTGTAAAGATATAGAGAACACTATTTATTTATTATTGAATGGGTCAAAATAAGAAAATGAAGTTTTCGACATTCTTGCATTTTTATCCATTTCGTGGATCTTAGTTTATGAGATATTGGATCATATTTGTGAATACTGTAGATCAATCCGAGACACGATTTCTGAATTTCTTCTATACCTTTAATATCGTTATGATCTAAACTATTTACACTATATAAAGTTATCAGAAAGTTGAATAAAGAAAGAATGTCAATACTGAACAGATGAATAGATACATAAATATACAATATATTCCCGAACAATAATTCAATACTAGGGAAATTAGGAAATGTGGTTGATAAAGTATTTCATAATTTATCAAAATTAATTATATGATTGAAAAAATGTACATTTGGTATGTATATAAAATGAAAAAATGCATTTGTGCAAGTATAAACAGAAATAATAACAGTAAATGATGGATCTACTGATAATACATATTTAGATATTTTTTCACTCTTTCTATATATGTAGCATATTTTATTCCAATAGGTTTATCTCTCTTCTAGTTTATAATATCCAAGTTTGCATTCACTATAAGGCTCTGAGGTTTAGGATAAACGGTCTTTACTGAGTTTATTGTATATTAGATATGTTTTATCCATATTCACGGGACATCTTTTAATCAAAATCAGTTCAGAAAATAACGGGAATGTTGGTTGTTTGAGAAAAATATGTATTCTTTTATCTACATTTTTATTTTCGCCTTCAAAATAATCCCCAATATATACTATTCACTTGTGCCAGCACATCTTCTAATTCTCGTAACACTTCTCAAACTCGATTTTTAGGATAGTCTTCAGTTTTTTCAGCAAAGGTTTTTTCATGACATAAAACGACGGCCTTTAAGGTTCTCTTTATTTTTGGAAATAGGAAAACTCACACACCATAATATAGAAACTGGGACATTGTATTCCGTTTTTAGACAAAAATACATGACCAAGCAATCTAATGTGAGCAGGTGCATCATGGTGGTGCAAAAGCCATGAATTATTTTTGCACAAATTCAGGAGTTTTTTTTCAGATTGCTTTACGTAAAAGGCGTTAAACTTGTAGGTTTTAGGTAATAACCATGTGTCAAGAATCTATGATGCAACATGCCATTGAAATAAAAAAATACATTGAGCATAACCTTCAGGTTTCACCGCACTTGTCGAGACTTCTTTGGTCTTACCAAACCAGAATACCTCCACTGGGATCTTAGTTTCGATATCATATCCATAAAACCATGTTTCATTTTTTAAGCAAAATTGGATACACATTCATTTAATCAAACAGAAGTCGCTGAGCTCTTAAAAACACGTCTAACTTTACGGCTACCACAGATAAAGTGAACAAGGAATATCGCTGAAAATTTTATCATACTTCAGGGGCAAGTATACCTAAATGAATGTGAAATTTACGTTATTTTCTGAACTTGGTATATAATTTAGACTGTTAATTCAGTAATGTGGCAAAAATCTCCATTTTGTAGGTTACTGATATCTTCTATCTTGAGTAAGTTATTTGATATTGAGACTACAAAAATTGTGAAACATGTCAACTTCGATCTCTTTGAGCAAAATTTAAAGTGATACCTTGATAAAAATGGTTTGAAAATGGGCATGTCAAAATTAAATATGATTCGGAAAAACATTCTTTTCAAATTGGAAAAATAAATATTGAAATAGATGGAAAATATTTATGGAACAGATGAAAAACTATTAAGAAAACGGATAATCAAAATAGTTGGAATGAATTTGAAAAGCGAAAAAAAATTTAGGGAATAAAATCAAAAATGAAAATAAAATAATCGCAAGAGGTTTCAATTTCAAAATGAAACTCATCAAAGGATTTGAAAGAAAAAATGAACAATTGTCACCAATCCAATTGTGGATCGTTATTGAAGAACACTTTCAGTAGAAGAAAAAAATATTTTTGGCAGTTATGTAGAGTATACAAAAATAATTGTATAACCCAGTATTGTCAGAATTATGATCAGACGGTAGCCAGTTGATTAGTTAATTCCTCTCGTAAAACCACCATTAATTTCAATTTGAAAGGTAAGAACTCGTTGATTCTTAGCTCGCGCTAGTTTCGATTTTTGAGGGTTGTCATTCGTTTGAGGAAGGAAACTAGTTCAAGAATAAACCCATTTTACTCTTTTTCTAATCATGTCTCTCTAATGCTGTGATATATTGGATTGTCAACTAATTCATAAGAAGTTGGAGTTCATACCCAGTGTTTGTTGAAAAAGGCAGAAAAAATGGTCCACCATTTCTCATTTTCAGATATTTTTCAGTTGAAAATCAAATCAAATTGCATTGAATTGAAATTCATTTAGTTTCAAGAAGAACTTATTTTCAATATTCTAAAATAAAATCGAACAGAAACAAATAAATATCGGTAAAGAAAAAAATAAGTAATGGAAAAATAATTATCATTTTTCGCAAACCTATAATTATATGTGTATGTTCAGAGAGGCAGAAATGGTCCACCATTTCACATTCTTAGATACTTTTCGGTGGTACATCAAATCATATTGCATTAACGTATTCAAAAAAAAATTTATTGTGAGATTTTCACAATACGAAGCTATTGTATGGCGAAACACGTGTTTCGCCATACAATAGCTTCTTCGGGTGTGTAAAGACACAATAAAGTGTTTTTGAAAGCATTAGTTATGGATTTTCATCAACTATCGGTCAATTCCATCATACATATTGCATTAGATTGAAATTTCTTAATTTTCAAGAAGTACTGATTATGAAAACTTCTTTTCAAAATATTGAAATAAAATCGAACCGAATCAAAGCAATACTGGTAATGAAAAAAATAATTAATGGAAAAATAATAATTATTCTTCACAAACCTTTTGAAAATTTGTTTTTGCATTTAGTCATATTTTTTCACCATATGTAACATTAGCAAACTTATTGAGAAAAACCGAATTTTGTGAAATAAGGATATAAATTACCATTACCTGTAATAGGATCTATTATTCACTTGAATTGGACTGTTGAATCCTGAGTCTCAGTTGTTCATTATACACTTCATAAAAATCCCTATCACTGGTAACATTCAAATTCGATATGGTAGCTGTTTCAGATACGCAGTTGAACATGGGAAGAGCCGACCTAAAGAATTTGGTTGATCCATTTGCATTCCTCGTATCATTATTAGAAATAATATAATTAGTGTGTGCAAGAGAAAAATTTGTTCTGGGTGCAAAACCTGGAGGTGGGCATACAGTAGAAGCTTGAGGCAACATATTTTGTAATCCAAAGGCAATTCCATTTGTGGATAGTGATGTAGGGGAACAAAAACCGTTCATAGGATAAGAACAGTTTGCAAACCTTGCACTATGGTAGTAAGGGTTATTGAAAGCTACAGACCAATAGGGAGATTCAAAATTCGGCATCATCATATTACATGAAGAAAACTGAGAGGTATAATTTTGTGGTACTAGAGAAGACTGTTCTGAATCTTCCTCTACGCATGGTTTTACAGCATTTGTATTAGAGAAATCAAAATGTTTGAAATAATGTAAATCTGAAGATCTGGAATCGTTAGTTGACCATGTTTGTTGAGATATATGTGCCTCTTCTAGATTGGCATAATCGGTAGAGTTATTACTTTCACTTGAACCGTCAGAACAATAAATATCAAGTTTTGGTTTTGAATATGACAAAAATGGATTATTGCGATTTAATCTGGGAATATCATTAGAAATTTGGCTCCCTTCTTTACCAAAACTAATCAAATCTTCTAAAAATGGATTTGTACTGGAATATGAAAAAGATGTTTCCTCTGGTTTTTCAACTACTAATTCTGAATGTTGTGCTAACTCAGAATCACTTCTGATAGACACTGAACTCTCACTACTTTTCAGGTTATCATCTTCATCAAAATTGAGTTTGCTAAAAGGATGATTTTTGTCAAAAGCTGTTTTGTCTTCTTTTTCGAGTAGATACTTTTCAGGATCTGAAAGGTTTTCTATTGCTGTTTGAAAACTACTTTCATGTGATCTACTTAGACCTGCTGACTCAGCAACATTATCTTCCTCTGCTTCAGTCTGGATTTCTCTATCAAAATGTTCATCATAATTATCTCTACTCTTTTTGAATTGATCATTGTCACAGATACTTAAAATGTCTTTCATTATATCTTCCGATAATAAACGGTCCTTCCGAAGTTCGTTGACAGTTTTATTTTTCAAGATTTCAAGCCTTTTTGTAATGAGTCCTATGTCACTTTCCAAGTAAGAAGTATCATGTTGAACACCTTCTGATAATTCTTCATCATTAAATATTTCATCTTCGCAATAAGCAATCACAGCAGACTGTAGCTCGCCAAAATAGGACATATCAACATGTTCTGCTTCATGTTTTTCTTTATCCATGAAATATGTGGGATGGATAGAATAAATTCTACTTTCCCTCACACAATATGATTCGTGAAATGCAGTGGCTAACAGAATTAGTTTGACTTCTTCAGTACTATCAAATTTGAAATACTGGGGATAACAGAAATTTATAGGTACATTTAAATCGTGAAAGACTTCCATTTCTGATGTGGAAGGTGCCAATCCATGTTCAATTTCCACAAAGGTTGGAAAAAGGTGAATCAAATTAACTACTGGGGTGCTTATATTGTCAACAATTGATTTCTTCTGTGCCTGAAAAAATAATCAATTTTAGTAGTTGTCTTTATGTAAATATTAGATTTACTGTATACCGGGTATCAACCAATCTATTTGTTAAGTTATTCTAAAATATTAGGTGTATCAAAATGAGATTTGGTATTATAAGTAAATGGTAGGTGGAGAGGGGAGTTTTCCCATATTTTTTCACTTTCCGGTCACTTCCGGTTTCACCATAAATGGCTCTGGAAACACTTGGCATATTTTAATATTTTGGGATTTCTGAAACAATTCACCTAGAAAGTCATGATCGGACTAATCTATGGTGATGTCAAAAAATTACAACCCTCAAGTTTTAGTGCGTAGGAATGTAGGATGCATAGGAATAAGACAAGTTGGTAAATTGAGATTTTCGTATCTATTATTTTTCCAATTGTTACCATTTTTGAAGTTTTCGAATAAAGAATTTTTGTAGAATTTGACGCAACCAATTTATTTGTAATTGTTCGAAAATAAGAACATAAATTCGATGCGGCAACAGACGCAGTGCTCTTGTTATCCTCACAGCACATACTGTTTCGATGTTTTGGTCTCCGATTTTATTCATTCGGTGGAGGCATGGTTTCGTTGAAATTAAAAGGTCCGATTCGTGTGCAATTTAATACAAATAACCAAATCCTATTTGTGTTAATAACTTCTTCATTTCGATTGAAATTGTCTCTATGTTTATGAATTTCTTTCACCTCCCTATACACCTTTGGAAAGCAATTCTGAGTGCTTGTGTCTCTTCCAACAATATAGGTTGAGCGCCTTTCTTTTCGTGTATATTCAGTTACAGCTGATACGCTCGAGGTGACAATTTCATTCATGTTCTTAGAGTTGGATACTTGCACTTCTTTTCACAACTTCACTAAAAGCTCTCTGGGGTCCTTAGCTGGTCTTAGACTCTTTCTGATAGTTTTTGTTGTCCTGAAATATTGGTTTCACGTTGTGTTTCTTCAGAATTCTTCGAAAATGACCCATAACATTTTCAACATGGAAAAGGAAAGCTTTTCCATGAATGGGCGTATCTGAAATTACTTCCGCGTTCTGTCCTTTCTATCTGAATCATCCACAAATTACTCATTTAGATAATGACAGTCACGCAAACTTTATGAGCATACAGTAGGAGTTTCTTAATGTTCTTTGAATATCAAATTAATTTTTCAACAAAATGTATAGAATTACATAAAAATTAAAAGAAAAAGAATTGTTTGCTCAGAGATATCCCAATTGGCAACCTCCAAACCATCAGAAATTTCTTCATGTAAAGAACCGATTTAGCAACAAGGAAATTTTGTATTTCTGAAAAATGAAGAAGACGTAGAAAATTTCCAAAATATCACATTCTTAAGCTTTTTACTGAAAATAACTCCAGACCAGAGTGTGAAAAATATGCGACACCACTCCTCCTCATAACAACCTACACATACCAAATTTCATTTTGATATACCTCATACTCCAGAAGTTATGATTCGAATGAATGAATGAATTCTTTGATTTGACACCCAAAATAGTATGTACATGTTCAAATGTCAATCATACGAACTTATTGAATCCGAATTCATGAAGCATTGATTAAATTGATTGATAATTGACCCAATTCATTGTATAACAAAATACATTAGAACTCAGTTTTTCCTGTGTTTATCTGAAGATACAGTTTCAAGTCTACAAAAAATGTTCAGTTATTTTTGTCAAGTTTTCATTATATGTGGTGTTCGCCGAAAAAAGGTACATAGTGTACAAAAACAAGTTTTCGAGAAAAACACGTTTAAGGTATTGTAGTGTAGGTATTACTACTATGTACACGGCTTCAGTGGGGTGTAAGGTCTTGATATCATTGGTCTGGGTATCTGTGTGACGTCATTCCTTCAATCTGCGATTTTTGTTCTCGTTGTAGTGTGGCGGTAGCTTCAGTTATCGAGTCTGTGATTGAGCTACAACGCAGCTGATTAAGTAACCCTTTCTAATATAGCCTTTTTCTTTCTAGATATTCTAGACAAATGTTTTCTTTCAGTTTCATAATTTTCATGAGAATTTAATCGTGAATTATCAATTTTCATAAATTCTATTTTATTAAAATGAACACAAGTGGCGATTTTAAAAAGAACAAAGAGGTTTTTTTTCTAAATGATTCGAAAGTTACGATGAAGATCCACAGTAATTTCATAAACTACCCCTTAAAATTTGATCTTCACAAACTCAATTTTCAAAAATATATCGCATGTTTTGCTTTTGCTATCACAGTAGCTTTTTCTTAGTGAATGACATACTGAAAGTAAATTATTTTCTTTACCCTAATTTTTATATGCCCCAGGTAATCATAAGTGAAAGATACCTACTCAGATACTTTGTGAATCATAATTACCTGGTACATTCTCAAATTATATATATGATGGAATTGGCCGATACTTGATGAAAATCCATAACTAACATATTGAAAAAACACTTTATTGTGAGATTTTCACTAAACGATTTTACAAAAACGCAACGCGTGTTAGTCATACAATGGCTTCTTCGGGCGTGTCTTTGTGTAGCGTTTTTGTAAAATCGTTCAGCGAAAATCTCACAATAAAGTGTTTTTTGAATACGTTTTTCAAATTATGATTACCTAGCTAGAGCATATTACATCAAATTTACATCAATAATACAATATCGATTTATAAGAAAACAATTGGATTTAAGTAGGTCAACATTATTTAACTTATTTTCTTAGAAACCGACATTATATTATTGATGTAGAATTATAATAATATACTCTAAGTAATCATAATTTGAGGATGTA